GTAGTAGTAGTAGTAGTAGTAGTAGTAGTAGTAGTAGTAGTAGTAGTAGTAGTAGTAGTAGTAGTAGTAGTAGTAGTAAGTAGTAGTAGTAGTAGTAGTAGTAGTAGTAGTAGTAGTAGTAGTAGTAGTAGTAGTAGTAGTAGTGATCGTACTAGTAGTAGTGATAGTCGTAGTAGTAGTAGTAGTAGTAGTAGTAGTAGTAGTAGTAGTAGTAGTAGTAGTAGTAGTAGTAGTAGTAGTAGTAGTAGTTGTAGCAGTAGTAGCAGTAGTAGTAATCGAAGTGGTAACAGTCGGGTAGTGGTAGACGCACTCGTCATGGAATTGCTAAGGGTAGTCGTTGTTGCGCCGGGTGCTCTGGGGAACACCCTTTCGTGCTTGGTGGCGTAGTGGCAGGCAGGTGGCAGCAGCCGTAGTAGCATCCCAGTCGGAGTACCAATGAGCTGCAACTGGTGACATATTTTTTGATTTGTGCGGCCACTCGGGCCCCATAGGCCTGCGCTTGGTGAGCGAGCCGTGCTCTGTCGGGGTTGCTACACTGTTTTGGCCATGGTGCTTATCGTTTACATCGGGTTAGACATATGTCTGTACGTTTTCATCTATTCATGTATGTATGTAGTAGTCACGCATGCATCTCTGTTAACACCTGTTCTGGAGTGTTATGGAGTGCTAGCCTGTATGTGTGTCCAGAACTTGCATGCACATCGCGGCGGGTTTCTTGTTTTGGATTGTGATTTCTGTGTGTATGTCAAGCCATCGCTGCCTCGCCGCGGAGCAAGCTGGTATTCCGTGTTGGACAGATTGCTGGACTTATTTGCTACCTGTCGTTTGACTGATTCTCTGACGTCAACTGGCTTGGGGCCACCTGCGGGCGCCCGCAGGCCCGCACCCCTGGCCGCACCCGCAGCCGCGCGCCCGCAGTTCAAGCTGGGGGACACACGTTGGGCCGCGTGCGGGCGCCCGCACCCGCAGCTGCTCCCCCAAAGCCGGAAGCACGTGCACCTGCGCCGCCCGCCTGCACCCGCAGCCGCACACAATTTTTGATCTGCGGGGCGAGAACGAACCTCTTCCGCTAAAAGCTAGGCGGGCTACGCACAGCTTCAATTAGGGAGACAGGGCACAGGAAGGCAGGCCTCAAACCGCAACCGCACACAAGGAACACAGCTTTTTCGCCAGCTGGGCCCCTGCGCCTGCAGCCGCACCCCCTACCCGAGGAGTGTGCATGTTGTCGCGCTCTGCGGGCGCCCGCACACCCGCAGCCGCACGTGCAGCCTCAACCGGGGAAAACGCATGTTTGCCCGCCAGCGGTGGCCCGCTTTTCGATGCCGTCGGGGCGTGGCGAGGCTGACGCCTTGTTGCGTGGGAAGGCGCTCGCAGCAAAGGCTGGCAGCCGAAGGTGGTCTTGCGGGGTCCGCCGCTTCGGGTGTTGGTCGGCCGCTTCGGGTGCAGACCTGTGGTGCGGGTGCAGGCCTCCTTGTGGTGTCTTTTCGGTTGGCTTGGTGTAGCTCTCGGTACTGGTCTTTGTAGGGCCGTCCAGCCAGATGCTGGGGGGTCCCCCTCCCCCCCACCGCTCGTATCTGCAGGGGCGATCAAGAGGAATTGTCAGACTCGCATGGTACACTTGAGGTGACCAGTCATGCCCAGATGCGATTTCAGATTTTTGAACTGTGCGATGCTGGGGAGGCGCTCGCGGCATAGGCGGGCGCCTGGAACACTCACGGCGCGCGTAGGTGCGAGCCGGCGGCAAGGTTAGGGAATGGCGGGGAAGGTCCCAGGACGCGTGCACACCGGTGCGTCGCCAGCTCCATTGCTCGTTTTGAGGGGCGGAGGCCTGGCCGCTCGTCAGCATGATGATCGCGGCGGGAGTCCCGTCGTCGCGTTTGGGATCGCGTGCTCACCAAACCTGGCCGCTGCTACAGGTGACGCTGCCGAGGGGTGCTCCCGCGTTGCTCCGCTGATGCCGCGAGGCTCCGCGAGGAGGTCGACTGCCTCAGAAGGCCTGGCGGCAACGCGCTCTGTGACTGACCCACATGTGTGAGGCTGGTATGGCAGCGTCAAGCTATCTAGCCGAAGGGACGGGACAACTGCGTCGGCATGGATTTGTCTCTGTGGGCCGTAAGCGAATGCTGGAAGCGCATGCCTACTTGCGAGCGTGCCTGGTAATCAACGGCGTGGCGCGACCGCGCTTCTGCGTATCAGCTGACGCAGCTCTTTGCGTAGGCTGCGGTCGAGTTCACGAAACGTCATGGGCCCTGCCTTCGGCGTCCATCCTTGCGCTCGCGTTGCCGACCAGAGAGAGCTTGTCTGCTCATTTGTTTTAGTGTCCTTCGTGCATGGCATCGCGGAACGGGCGGACAGAATCACCAAGCCCAGAAGAGCATGGATTGCACGATTCACAGTTGTCTGAGACTGTCGAAGAGGCAATGATGGATGTAGTGGACGAGTTGATTCTCGTGTTCTTTGTCTTTCCAGCAGCCTCTGCTTGCGGGGCATTCGGCGGGAGGTCGTGCAAGAAGCTGTGAATCAGAGCTGGCGAGCGTTACGCTTTGCATCCAAGGCGGGCCCGCTCATATGAAGTGTCGCGTTCGTTTGAGCTGCTGCTTGCGCTGCTCTGTTTCTGTGTCAGGACGCGTGCTTATGCTAATTGATGAATTCGTGATCCGATGGTCGCTGTCGTCGCTATAGCCGTAGACATCTTCGTTGGCGGCCGTGAGGATGTGGTGGCGTCGCTGTCACCGATCTTTGTCATTCGTGTGTTCGAATAGTGCAGGTACGTTTTTGTAGTGGCCGCTTATGTCCCCATTGCCATCAGGGAGAGTGGAATGCAACGCGTGCATGGTTGACTTGCTTGCTTGCTTGCCTGATGTCAGGTTGTTTTCTGTTTATTCCGATAGCTGATCCAAGAGCTCACATCTCAAATCAACGCAGGGAGCTTTTGGAGTCGGTGGTTGGTGCACGTGTCCTGGTTCTGTATCGTTGGGGTGCGCCTGGCTCAGCATGGGTGTTCGTTTTCTGTTGAAATGGGGACACGTAGGCGGAGAACACACTAGATATGAGATGTGTGCACGCACATGTGTAGACATGTACGCACATAAAAGGAGACTTTGCGCAGGAGTGCAGTGGAGGTGCGTGCGGGCAGCGCGAAGAGATACGTTGGGGATGCGGAGTCCGTCGTAGGCTCAGAGAAGGGAAAATGGGGGCGTTCTGTTGACGGCTTGTCTGTGGGATTCGTTGCTTGGGCTGCCCCACGTCGCAGTCTGTGTGTCATCTGCCTCTGTAGTCGCACTTAGCGCCCCATGGTTCCTTCCCGGGCCTGCGCTTGGGTGTTTACCATGCTCAGTGCCCTATCTTTTGCGTCTTGTGCCATGAACGCATTTGTTGTGTATGGATTTTGCGTCGTCACGTGCCAGTGGCCTTCGTCTTATCACCATTGCCGAATGCTGCCTCCAGTGGATGCCGCCTACGTGTGCGCGTTGACATCGATGTGTTGCGTCAGGCTATGTTGTATTGTAGACCCACGCCCGCACCCTCGCCTCTTGGTCCCGAGGGTGCTGTATGCTGTAGGTGCAGACTCGCCGCCATAGCCTATCCAAGCTTTGGTGCTGCTGATGCCTGACTGCTATGTGTCTTGTTGTACAGTGATGCCGATTATGTTCTCGCATTTTCTTGCCACGGGCTTTCGTCCTGCAGGCTCTTCGAGCTGACCATGAGATCATGCTCAAGGCCAGGTGCTTTGCAGCCACAGCGCCAAGAAACGTAATCACAACAATCGCAGGATTCAGGGGAGTCTTTGAGGCTTTGTGGCTGGTGCATGTGAGTTGTGGCAGTCAAAGGACTTGGTCTGATTAAGCTGTTCTATCAGACGGGCCGTCTGTTCGGGCTGACCATGCTGTCTCGGAAACGAAACCTATTGCGTTTCTATATGTGCGCCATGTGGTCCCATTGGTTGGCCTCAGCCCGTGGCATAATTGGTTCGTGTCTTCAACCCTGTGACTCAATTGTGCGATCGGTTTCCCGAGTCCGTTTCTCACTCCAGATGCTTGTGGCCCGTGCTCCATGGCCCCAAGGCCCATGGCCCGTGGCCGAGTTGTCCATTCGGTAGCCGATGACTTACTGACTCGTTCAGTTGCCTATGGCTCGTGGTCCGCCTGTGGCTTCCGACCTGTCGCTGGTCTTTCGGTGGCCCATAGCCCGGTTTGTCAATCTGTTGCTCGTGACCCCGTGCCACCTTTGCCCGTGATTTTCTTTGTGCTTGTTGCGTGCCAGCGTGTTTTTCCCTTGTCAGCACCTTTGCAATGTTCGTTGCATTTCTTGACGACCTCCCAGCCGTGGTGTCCAGTGCCCAGTGCCAGCGTTCCAGAGTCGCCCTGGCGCGGTGTGCCCGCGCAGCGAATCCTGGCGGTGTTTCTGGCCAGCGGGGGGCAGCTGCCAGTGGGGTCAAGTCGCTTCAGACAGTGAAGCTTGCAACCACCAGGCCTTTCACCCTGCACGGCGACGAGCGGCGAACCGAAGATCACCGCGGCATCTGAATTCGCTGCTGCCCATGGCTCGACTGCGCGCTCGGTGGCCACTGCAGGGCGAGGTTTGGTAGACACGGCGGGGGATCGACTGCGCGCGGACCTCGGTTTTGCGAGCTCGTTCTCGCGCAGCGCTGGTTGCTCATGAGGAAGGGTCGGTAGTGCTGGTGGGGCCTTTGTCAGATTCTGGTCAGGGCGTTCGCGAGGTATGTTGTTCTGAAGCAGGGAGGTCTGGCCCGCTGGGCAGGGAAAGCATGCAGATACGATCTTTTAGTGCCCCGAGTGCGAAACCAGAAATGACAGTGGATCTAAAACGACTACCTTCGTCCGAATGCGAGTAAACATCGTTCCAAGATGTGCTGTGAGCTGCTGTGTTTCGGCAAGGCCCTTTTGACTTCAGCTGCCAGCACCGTGCTCACGAATTGGCGCTGAAGCGGTGTATGTCGCACGCGAACACAACAAACCACCAGGTCAATGCAGTTGCCT